TTAGAAGATAGCCTAGGCGAGAGGATAGTACCTTAAATTAAGCTAATAAGAGTAGAGAAGTAGTGAGATATTATAAAAGACTTGAAAGGGGGGAGCTTATTTAAAATAACAAGCCAATTCTCAAGTTCATTTGTAAGAATACCAAAGAAATTTCTGAAAAAGAACAAGAGAAGACTTGCATTATCACAGACTTAAACATACTATTAAACTCATAACAAAACCTGTACATTATAAGTATAAAATATAACCTAATTACAGTGACAGAACAGATATTAGTATGCACATAAAAATTAATATGATAGTATTTCAAATCAGTGGTAAAAAAATGAATTAGTAAATAAAATGATGCCATAAAACTATTAAGACAAATACTAGAGAATAATTTCATAATACTGGAGTGGGGAAGACTTTCTTAAGCAAGACAAAAACACAGCAGCAATAAAGAAAAAGCACTGATATATTTGCCTACATAAATATGAATAAATTCTGTTAGAAAAAGACACTATTGGCAAAGAAACAAATAACAGGGAGTAAAAGAATTGCAACTAGCTACCAAAAGGTTTGCATAACTAATAAATAAGGTCGTCTTATCTATTAATAAGACTATTTAATGGAAAAACTGTTGAAGAAATATGAAGAAATTCAAAGAAGATGAGTGGTCAGTAAATATATGAAAAAATGCTCATCTCACTAATAATTTTTAAAGTGCAAAATAAAAATAGATTATTTTTGTGACTCTACATTTTTCACACACAAAAAAGTACTATTGGAACACATATAAGGAAATAATTAAGCCTGGAGTACAGGAAAAAAACTTGAACAAAAATTTTAAAAGATACGGTCATTATATTTGAGAAGAATGAGATTTTCTTTTCTTTTACTTTTATGAATTTTTCTTATTAATTAGGATGTATTACTTTCACAATTAGGTAAAAGTGAATTAAACTCTTAAACATTTCATGCTACCTTATAGAAATCTTTGGATATGATGGAAGAAATGTAAAGGGCCTAAACCGCAAGGAGAAAAATAATCACCTTCAATTATGATCTCTATTAACAAACTATTAGCTACTTAAGATACAAGATTTCAACAAATAAGAGGATTTAGCAAAAGAAAGCATAACATCAAGCAAAGCAGTCTGTGAACAATGGATAATCTGTTTCTAGTTTCACTCAGAAAATTCTTCAAAAGGTCACAGGCTAAAATTTTTGCCTCTGTGTACATTCTAACCAGTTTCTAAAAGGCCCACAGACCATGGTGGGGGTGGGGATTATATTAAAATTCATTTAATGTAAAAGTTTTAATCTAAATGAGAGAAAAAGCAAAGGAAAAAATTATACTGAGGGAAAAGCACCCAAGCACATCAGCTCTAGATACCGGGTAACAAACATAAATCAGGAAAATGCATCAAATATTAATACTGGTTAAAGTAACACATTTCCCAACGTAGATTCTGTACCTCTAGTATGTAATATGACTTTACATGGCACCTAATGAACTTTAAAATTTTTAAGTTTTACTTTCATTTTAACATGTGATTTAAAATATATAATTAGCAATCAAACCTAGGATTACAAAGATATTACTCCTTGTACAAGGCTAAATGAAAAAGGTAAGCCAACTTAAAGTTCTTAAGCTAAGTAAATGATACAGGATATGGCTAAACTGATAGTACACTAATGACTAAAGTTAGGGAAACACTGTGACAACATTCTGAAAATTAATATTGAGCTCATAAAACAGATAATTAAGTTTTTTCAAAATATGGATGCTATAAAGACATTTGTGGGCAAGGTGATTAGCATGAACCAAACCAGTTTTGCCAAGAAGTGAGTTCCAACATCATCCTTCCCTAAACACTTTTTAGTTTCTTCCCTTTCTACTACTCTGAACTTACAAACTACCCAAGTTTTTCATACATAGAAGCCCCTGATTCCCAAATAAAGAACCTATTTATATCCAATTCACAAATAAAGAATCTATTTATACCAGTAGTTCCAACTACTACTGAAGCTCCAAAAGCAGATTCCCAAATGCCCTTCCTAGATTCACCAGATGTCTACTACAAGGCAGAAGATTTGTTTCTGTCAAACATAAACTTGGATCACACTGTTCTCATAAAAAATGCTGGCTCTCCCTTTTCTTCTCCTCTCCCTTTTGTATAATCAATCATTCAGTACAAAAGCCATTAGGTGAAGCAGAGCAAGGTAAGCATCTGTGGGTATGGTGGGGGAGGGGAGATGTAGGAGTCTAAGCAGAATGAGGAAGGCACTAGTGTGGAGGAAATGGAGCATGAGCGGGATGAAGAAGGTGTCCACATGTAACAGACAGTCCAGCAAAGGACGTTAGAGCATGAATCGGGTAAGGAGAGACTCCCCTGCAGACAGCAGCCAGGCACAGGGTATTAGAGTCCAAGTAGGATGAAAAGGGTATCTACATGGGACAGCAGACCACATAGGGTGTCAGAACCCAAATAGGATAAGGAAGGATTCCATAAGGAGGACAGCCCCGAGTGGGGTGTCAAAGATTAAGTGGGATGAAGAGAAAGGAGAGTGGGGCCCAGCCAAGACTGTGGTGGGCCTCTGCGTGGTGGTAAGGAGTATCCCAGCAGAGAGTTCAAGCAGGGAGAGAGAGGATATCCACACAGAGAAGCAGCACCAGGTAAGATGTCTGAGCCTGAGCAGGATAAGGAGGATGTCCACACTGGGTGGGAGTGGGGGTAGGGGGACATTATGGGGTGTTGAAGCCACTACAGAATGAGGATGGCATCTGTGCTTCATAAACTTTCTGTGGTACCCCCAAGTTTAAGTTGAAAGTACTAAGTATCTCAGGAAAACACTGAGCTATTATTTTCTGGATAAATATGAAAAATATACAGTAAAAAGGACAAAGAAGAGAAAATGAAGAAAGCAAAAACAACGAAGTAGCAAAAATACCAAACTAATAAGCTCAGAAACGTGGGAAACCTCACTTTACAACAGAAACAAGATACAAATATAAATCAAGTACTAGTTTAATTAACCTATACTACTAAATACAACCAATCCACTGGTCTGGAAGAAGTTGATCCCACTGATGGGAGTGTGGAACAGCCAGCCTACAAGATGGTGCCCCAATGAAACATGCCTCCTGACAGTCACACCTCTTTTGTGACATTTGAACCAGGGCTAGGTCTTTGTAACTAATAGAATACGGCAAAAGTGAAGATGTGTCTCTTCTGAGATGAGGTTATAAAAGACAGAGGCTTTCATCTTGGACTGGCTTGTTCTCTCTCTCAGACCACCTGTTCTATAGGACATCAATGGCCATGTCATGAGGACACTCAGGCAATCTATGGAAAGGTCCACATGGTAAGGAACTAAGTTCTCCTGCCAACAATCACGTGAGTGAACCTGTAAGCACATATACCCCCCAGTCAAGCTTTCAGACGACTGTAGCCCCAGCCAACAGCTTGACTTCAACCTCATGAGACCCTGCACCAGAGGCACCCAGCCCAGCCACTTCCACATACCTGACCCACAAAAGCTGTGAGATTATAAATGTCTGTTGTTTTAAGCTATTGTTTCGAGTAATTTTGTTTTGCAGCAACAGGTAACTAAGACATTGTGATTCTAAGTGATGGAAGTTGAGAGAGCACCAATTGCAGACCCACAAGAAAAGAAAAATAAAACTTCATCCCAACAGATCCCTGCTGGTTATAGAAAGGGTATACAAAAAGGGTATACAAAAATTCTAATCAAAAGACCACTTATGATTCCATTGAAGAAGCACCATCAAACACCACAGTAAGGTGGGGAAAAAAAAAAAGAGTATTTCTCATATCTGAAATAACAAATCCTTCTTAGATGTCTCTAGGTTACCTGGAATTTCTGATAAACATTTCAGATACTAAAAAAAAAGAACAAATAGAAACAAAACTAAAAAAAATGTATCAGGCACTATGATGCATATGCTAGAGATAAAACTGTTAAGAAGTTAAGCTTGATCTCTGACCCAGCAACACTTTTTTTAAAAAATAAATTTTATTGTGTATATTGTGTATATTTGAGGTAACATATCCTATAACATGATGTTATAGGATACATATAGATAATAAAATGGTTACTACAGTGAAGCAAATTAACATATCTCACATAGTTACTTTTTTGTGTGTGAAAAGGCTGCTAAAATCTACTTATTTAATGAAAATTCCTAATACAACTTTATTAACAATAGTCCTCATGTTGTGCATTACATTTCTCAACTTGTTCATCCTACATATCTCTACTTTGTATCCTTTGGCCTACATCTCTCCAATCCCCCCCTCCCCCACACCCCCATCCCTGCCCATGGTAACTACTGTTTTATTCCCTATCTCTGTATATTTGACCTTTTTTTTTTTTTTGTATGCCACATATAAGTGAGATTATGCAATATTTTTCTTTCTTTGTCCAGCTTACTTCACTCAGCACAATGTCCTCCAGGTCCACACATGTTGTGGCAAATGGTAGGATATCCTCCTTTTTTAAGGCTGAATAGTAGTCCACTGTGTGTGTGTGTCACATTTTCTTTATCCATTTGTCTGTTGACTGACGCTTAGGTCATTTCCATATCTTAGCTATTGGGAATAATGCTGAAATAAACACGAGTGTGCAGATATCTTTATGAGGTGGTGATTTCATCTCCTTTGGGTTATACACCCAGAAGAGGAATTGCCCTAATAATACTTTTGAAACACCAAAATTTCTATACCATAAGTAATTGTTTTAGTGATAAATGATTCCATGGGTACATTGTTTTATTGTACAGTTGACACAAAACTTTTGTCTTTATAAATTAACTGCTAGGGGTCTTCTACATGATCAACCAATATAATAGTATTCCTATAAAATAATTATCAGTTAACACTTATTGCACACAAGTATCAGGCACTAAACACCTTATACAACTCCATTTAATCCCACAATTATCATCATCCTGATCAATCTCTCAGTCTCAGTCTCTGCCACTCTCCTCTTACTCTCCCACCGCTTTGCTCATCCATACTTTCAGCAATGACATTCCTGAACCCCAGAGCAGGTCTCTCATACATCTGTGTGAGCCTCCTTCACCTATCCTATATGGTTCGTATAACAACTGTAATAACTAGATGATAAATTACTTAATATCCATCACTCATGCTAGAGTATAAATTCCATGGGAGCAGGGAAGGTATCTCTCTTGTAACCTGTTTTATCCCCTGTGGTTTGGAGTTTTAAAACGCAATTATAAATGATTGCTGAGTAAAAGAATGAACCAGTGTGTTACACTGCCTCTCCTATGCAACACTACCTTTTTATTACCTAGGGCAGTGTTCCTCAGACTGTGGTCCAAGAACAACAGGTGGTCCCTGCTAGTCTACCACCTAGTCTACAGTCTGGTGATTTCAGAAGAACAGACCAATCAACCATTTCCTTCACCTATACTGTATTTTACAAACTTGACTGTAAAATAATATTTCCACAATAATCCTATTCTTCAATGGGAGGGAATCTCCATACCATAAAACACCAGCCTCTTCCCTTCATCTAGCTCTCCAAATCCTGGAACAACACATATATCTTCCCAGGCAACTAGCCAAGTGAGCAATATTTTCCTGGAGAAACTAGATGCTCAAAAAAAAGAACTATATTTGGAGGGCCTCCAACAATAAAGTTACCTCTCCACCAACTTACTGTACAATAAAGCCCATGCACACAAGCTTCCAATTATCTCACATTTAAGAGTAGACTTTGTTTTTTCCAGCTTTATTGAGATATAATATAAAAATTTATACTGTATATATTTAAGGTATACAACATGATGATTTGATATACATTGTGAAATGACAAGTTAATTAACACATCCATCACCTCACATCACCTTTTGTGTATGTGCATGCATGTGGTTAAGAACACTTAAGATTTAAAAACAGAGAGATAAGATAAAGATGGTGGAATAGACAGTTCCCAGCATCACTCTCTCCCACAACCGACCGATTTACAACTACTAAAAAGCAAAGATTGCCAAGCTGGGGCCGTTAGAGCTCAGGGGAAGAGGAGGAGAAACCTATGGAGTTCATGAGGGTGGGAGAAGCCGCAATGAGAGAAAGAAGGGACCACTCTGACAGTTTCAAGCCCCAGCCATTTCAAGACCGGCTCTGGTGAGCACACAGAGCAAGAGTTGGCAAAAGCCATGGCTGTGCCCTTCGTATGAAGTTGCTTGGAGGCTGCAGGGAGAAGAGGGCCTTGGTAGCCCCCAGACCAGCAAAACCACCAACAGGGTTCCCATGGACCCACATAAGAGCAAGAAGCCACAGACAACTGAAAAAAGGAGCCACTCAGAGGCTGATAAGTCATCGCAAGGGACCAAAGCATGACCCATCCTATGGGAAGTGTTTGGAGTGCAGGGTGGGGAAGACAGACCCACCGAGGGAACATTGGGGCACAGCATGGACAGCTGATCTGCCCTCCAATCAGCACAAGAGCACTTAGTGGAGACTGGTCAGGATGATAGAACTGCAAGGGGTGCAGTTTGCTGAAAAGACCTAGGCCCAGACAAGAGTTTCCATGCAACCCAGGTGTATTGGACCTCACAGGACCTGGAAGTGCTTAAAAGGTCAACAATTAAAACCTGAGCTGCACAAAAACCCTTCCCCAGGGAATGAGCAGAAAAGCAGCAATTTAGCTCAACCACAGGGCTCAAGTGCTGGTCCCCACAGGAAGTTCACCCATTTTAGAAGTAAGCAAAGGACAACAAATTAGTTCCAGTGCAGAGTTCAGTAGCTAATAATCCAACACAGAACTGAAAGAAAAAACAAAACGCCCACAGATCAGAGACAAAGTTCTGATATTAACCAGTAAAGGTCTAACACCAACAAAGAACACCTATAAAACCTAAAAGAGCTGGAAGCCCCCAGGCTCCCAAGCCAAGGTGAGGGAGGCCCAAGGACCTCAGCCATGCCCCACCCCCAGTGTCCAAATCCAGCGTGAAGTCAACTGAGACTCCACAGAAGACCCCCGGGTTCCTAAGCCGGAGCTGGGGAGCCAAGGGACTCAGCCCTGCCCCCCTGCCCTTCAGAACCAGGCCAGCTCCTTTCCTTCACCTCCATCCCCTTAGCCCCACAACTCCTCTGCAATAACACCTTTCAATGTAAAAAAAATAATAATAATAATTAATAAATAAATTTTTAAAAAATAGATTTACGAACAGATATTTAAAGTGAGGACAGAGAGCCTGGAATCACCATGGATAAGGAGAGCCTGTTAACATGAAAGAAAGGGAACCAAGTAAACACAAATTAGTTTGGAGAAAAAAGACAATGCAGGAATGAGAAGAAAACTTCAAAAAAAAAAAAAAGATTAATTATTAATATCCCAAATGACATTAGAAAAAAATTTTAAAGAATACTATTTTTAAAATAAAGAGAACAGGTAGAGAATAAAGTACAAAAAAGAATATTCAGAATGTTAAATATGACAGTATGCTAAAAGTTCACAAGACCATCCGCAGGTTCAGTGGTTCACTAGAAAAACACACACACTCAGAATAGTCACAGTCACAATGATTTATTCCAGCAAAAGGATATAAAGCAAAATCAGCAAAAAGAAAAGTGAAAATGGGGCAAGGTCCAGAAGAAACAAGCACAAGCTTCCAAGAGTCCTCTCCCAGTGGAGTCACACAGGACATACTAAATTCCTCCCGCAATGAGCTGTGACAACACATGTGAAATACTGTCTACCAGGCAAGTTCTTTAGAAACTTACTGCTCAGGATTTTTATTGGGGGGCACCATTTGCCTAGAACACACCACAATTCCAGACACCAAGAAGGAAAGCAGGTGTTCAGTATAAATCACATTATATGCACAGTGTTAAGCACCATGAGTCATTCTTATTGCGGAATGGTAAGAACCTTTCTGAAATCCAAGCTCCTAGACAGCAACCAAGGGCCAACCTTGCAAGCATACCCTTCTAAGGATAACAGTCTCGAGCCTGCTGTGTTAACTCTGCACAGACAGATAAAATAAAACATGAAAGAGTTGGAAGATAAAGTCAAGACTCGTTCCAGGAAAAAGAACAAAAGAAAAGACACAGACTATGAAAGAAAAGAGGTGTAAAAAACTACATGACCAATCCACTCCAAAATATAAAAAAGGGAAGAGAAAAAAAATAAGACATGGAAGGAAGACATTACCAAAGAAATAATACAGTAAATTTCCCAGATCTGAAAAGCATGAGTATCCAAACTGAAAAAGACCCATTTGGTACTCAAGTATGTTATTATTAAACTACAAAATAGCAAAGACATTGGGGGAAAAAATCCCATGGACTTATAGAAAAGAAAAAATAAACAGGTTGCTAACAAAGTTGGGGACCAGAATAGCAACAATCTCAGTGATAAACTAAAAGGCAATTGAGAAATGCTTTCAAAATTCTGAGAAAAAATTATTTTCATACAGATCTTAATACCTAGACAAATTATCAAATAATAAAAAGGTAGAATAAAGACATTCTCAAACATACAAGGTCTCAAAATTTATCTCCTCTGCACCTTTTTTTCAGCAAGCTAGTGGAGGATGTGCTCTAAATTAATGAGGTCTACAAAACAGGGAAATCAACACAAGGGAGAAGCAATGGGAATTTCCAAAACAATAATGAAGGGAGAACCCAGGATGACAACTGCAAACCTGGTCTAGCAAGCAGCCAACTTTAAACAGGAGAATGGAAGGAAGTCCTATGGAGAGGCCCCCGTGGAAAGGAACAAATAGCAAATAGCAAAAAACAGAGGCCTCCTGCCGACAGCTTCAGAAGTGAATTCACTTAGAAGTGAATGCTCTAGCCCCAGTCAAGTACAGATTACTACAGTCCCAGTCAAGAGCTTGACTGCAACTTCATGGAAGACTCTGAGCCAGAAACACCCAACTAAGCCACTAATAAATTTTGGACACATAGAAACTTTATGACATGAATCTTTCAGGTCAAGGGTTCAGATCCCATACCAGCCAGCAGCCAAACATAAAGAAATAAAATCTTTTTGTCTAAAACTGCTATACTTTGGAATAATTTGGGACATAGCAATAAATAACTAAGACAATATGCTCAAGTCCGTAAAACAAAGTTCCAACATGAAAGTACTGGTAGCATACAAACCATATTCAGTGACTACAATACAATTAAGATAGAAATTAATAACCAAAAGATAACTAGGAAAACTTCTGAAAATCAAGAAACACTCTGGGTAAATGAGAAATCATAATGGAAAACAGAAAACACCTAAAATTGAAAAATAATGAAAAGCCAATTGTCAAAACTTGTGGGATACAACTAAAGCAGTATTTAATAAATTTATAGCTTTGAATACTTACATTTCAAAACAAACATGTAAAATTAATGTCAGAAAAACCACCTCACTCATTACTACTATCAAAAAAGACAGAAAATAAAAAGTGTTAGTAAGGATGTGGAAAAATTGAAACCCTTGTGCACTGTTGGTGGGAACGTAAAATAGTGTGGCTGCTATGGAAAACAGTATGGTAATTCCTCAAAACATTAAAAACAGAATTACCATATGGTAAAGCAATTCCACTTCTAGGTAAATATCCAAAAGAATTGAAAGCAGGGTCTTGAAGAGATATTTGCACACCCAGGTTCACAACAGCATTATTCACACTAATGGGTGAGTGGATAAACAAAATTTGTTATATACATATAATGGAATATTATTATTCAGCCTTGAAAAGAAAGGAAATTCTAATACATGCTACAATGTGGATGAACCTTGAGGACATTATGGAAAGCGAAATAAGCTGGTCATAAAAAGACAAACACTGTATGATTCCATTTATATGAGGTACTTAGAGTAGTGAAATTAATAGAGACAGAAAGTAGAATGGTGGTTGCCAGGGGTTGGAGGGATGAAAGAAAGGGAAGTTGTTGTTTAATGGATTTCAGTTTTGCAAGATGAAAAGACTTCCGTAGATTGGTGACACAACAATGTGAATGTACTTAACACTACTGAACTGTAAAAAAAAAATAATTAAGATGGTAAACTTTATGTTATGTATATTTTACCCCAACTGAAAATAAGATTAAAAAGTCAGCAAAAAAGAATAGTAGAATAAACCCGAGGAAGGAAAATGATAAGGGCAAAATTAACAAAACAGAAAACACAAAAATTAATAAAGCAAAGAAATGGATCTTTGAAACTACAAACAAAATACACAAACAGAAAAAAAATCAAGAAAAAATAATGAAATAAATAAAAATTAGGAGTAAAAAATAGGACACAACAGATCATAAAAGGATATCGTGACCAACTCTTGAGCTGAAATAGACATTCTTAGAAAAATACAATTTTCCAAAACTGACTCAAGAAAAAAGAATCAGAATAGTGGGACAACAATTCAAAAAATGAAATTAGTCGTTTAAAATCTTCCCTCTAAGAAAATACTAAGCCCAGAGGATTCTACAGGCAAGCCCTGCCAAACTTTAAATCAACATAAAACTCCAGTATTATATAAATATGTAGAGAACATTAAAAGATAAACCTCCCCAATTGATTTTACAAGGCTAGAATAACCTTGATGTAGAATCAAGAAAATGGCTATATAAGAAAATTACAAATCAATCATATTCACAAACATAGATGTAAACATCCTAAACAAAATATTAGAAAATTTAATCCAGCAATCAGTTTTTTTAAATTATACATTTCAACCAAGAACAGCCCTAAAGATATAGGTTAATTTAATTATTATAAATCAGAAAAGCCCTCCCCAAGATGGCAGCTGGTGAAGACGAGTTACTGCTGCCACGGCTCCCCGAGCTGTTCGAAACAAGCAAGCAGCTCCTGGACGAAATAGAAGTAGCGACGGAACCCACCGGGTCCCGGATAGTCCAGGATAAGGTGTCAAAGGGACTGGACTTCCTTGGGAAGGCTGCCGAAATGGTATCAGAGCTCGACTTGTTCAGCCGAAATGAAGATTTGGAGGAGATTTCTTCCACCGACCTGAAGTACCTGCTGGTGCCAGCATTTCAAGGAGCCCTCACCCTGAAACAAGTCGACGGCAACAAGCGTCTAGATCATTTGCAGTGGGCTCGAGAACATTTTATGAACTACTTAACCCAGTGCCATTACTATCAGGTGGCAAAGTTTGAGCTGCCCAAAACCAAGAACAACTCAGCTGAAAATAACACTGCTACTTCCTCCATGGCCTATCCTAGCCTCGTTGCTATGGCATCTCAAAGACAGGCTAAAATAGAGAGATACAAGCAGAAGAAGGAGGTAGAGCAAAGGTTGTCTGCACTGAAAAGTGCTGTGGAAAGTGGTCAAGCAGATGATGAGCATGTTCGTGAATATTATCTCCTTCACATTCAGAGGTGGGTTGGCATCAGCTTAGAGGAGATTGAGAGCATTGACCAGGAGATAAAGATCCTGACAGAAAAAGACTCTTCAAGAGAGGCATCAACTTCTCATTCATCTCATCAGAAGAGGCCTCCAGTGAAGCCCTTTATTCTCACTCGGAATGCGGCCCAAGCCAAAGTATTTGGAGCTGGTTATCCAAGCCTGGCAACTATGACAGTGAGTGAGTGGTATGATCAGCATCAGAAACATGGAACATTACCAGATCAGGGAATAGCCAAGGCAACACCAGAATTAAAAAGAGCAGCCCAGGAAGATCAAGAACAAAAGGAGGAAGAGGACGATGAGCAAACACTTCACAGAGCACGGGAGTGGGACGACTGGAAGGACACTCATCCTAGGGGCTATGGCAACCGACAGAACATGGGGTAATCTCCCCACAGCACGACAAGACTACGGGTCGCACATCTTCCCCACCAAGGAAAACTGTGTGGTCTTCCCCTCCCGAGGCTCCTGCTTCAGCTGTGTACAAAGAAAGCCGAAATGCTGAGTTTTGTTTTCAATAAAGTGTCAAGTGATTAACTGTGTATTTGTACCCTAAATAATGAACTAGCAACTTTGTTTTGGCATTATCTTCCTAATCATGGTGTATTCTAATTTCTTGAATGGAAAGAAAAGAGCACTGAGAAATGGCTCTGTATAATCAATGGCTGTATGAATTCTCTTTAAAAAATAATAAAAGTCCCTTCCATTAAAAAAAATAATAATAATAAAAAATAAATAAAATAAATCAGAAAACAATGTAATTTGCCATAAGCAAACAAAAGGAAGAAAAATTATATAATCACCTCAATGGAGGCTGAATAAGCATTTGATAATACTCAACAGCCACTCAGGAATTTTAAAATTCAGCAATATAGAAGTAGAAGAGGACTTCCTTAATTGAATAAGGGCATTTATTTTTTTAAAAAAAAAACTTACAGCAAACACTATATTTAGTAGTGAAATAATAAAAGCTTTCCTTTTAAGATTAAAAAAGCAAGACATAGATGCCCACTACCATCGCTCCTATTCAACAATGAAAAACCTCAACAGGTACATAGAGAAAAAGAAAAAAAATATTGAGGGTGAAAAAACAAAACTACAGCTATTTGCAGATTATTCACCATCTACATAGAATATTCAAAAGAATCTTGAGATTAGTCAACAAAAGTGAGAAAACAAAAGTTAGTTGCATTTCTCTATACAATTGGAAAATGAAACTTGAAAAATACCATGTACAAATAGCAACAAAAAAATTCTAGAAAAAATTCTGACATCTGATGTACAAGTTCTTTATATAAGGAAAAATTATAAAACTTAATTAGAATAAGTTTTTAATTTTTTTAATTTTAATTTTATTTTCAAAGATGACTAGTAACCCTTGACTTGGCGTTGTAAGCACCACACTCACCCAGTGAGCTATCCAGCCATCCCTAAATGGGATCTGAACCCGTGGCCTTGGTGTTATCAGCACCACACTCTCCCAAGTGAGCCATGGGCCAGCTCGAATAAGTTTTTCAAAAGATAAAATTAAATAGACACACAGGAAGCCTCAATATCATAATGATGTCAATCAATTCTCCCCAACTTGATCCAAAGACTCAATGGAATACCATCCAAAATTCCACCACCATTTTTCGTGGAAATCAATAATAAAAGCTGATTCTAAAAATAAGGAAAAGCATTATTATGAGTTTCTCTAAAGAAAAGGTTGAAAGACTTGCCATACAAGACTATAAAGCCATAGTAATTAGGATAAATAATCAAGTGGGTTACTGGCACCAGGGCAGATAGCAAAATAGAAAGCCCAGAAACTAAGCCCATGCATATAAAGGAAGTTAATTTCCAACCAAGCAAGCACTGCAGATCACCGGGGGGAAAATGGACTACTCAATAAATAGGCTGGATCAGTTATCCTTCATATAAAAAAAATTAAAAGTGGATCATTACACAAAAGTAATTCAATGTGGATTAGAGACTTAAATGTGAAAATGAAAACTAAAGAACTTTTAGAAAATAATATAGAAGAACTACCTTAATGACATCAGGGAAGAAAAGAGATAAATTTTTTTTTAAATGTAAATCTTTATGACAAATTCAGCTACATTAAAATCAAGAACTTCAATCTTTAAAAGATAAAGATTTTTAAAAATCCAATCATAAATTGGAAAAGATATTTGCAACACATGTAAATATCAAGAAGTAGATCTAAACCATATAAAAATTAATGCAGAAAAGTTAAACAACACAAATAGAAAAATGAGGAGGAAAAAATATATATATATAGGTAGTTCAAAGAGTAAGAAACAAACGATACATGAATATCTGAAAAGAAGCTGAACCTCATTGGTAGTCAAGGAAATAACAGATTCAAATTACAATGAGATAGCATTCCTTACCCTCCAGATAGATAAAAATTTTAAAAACAGACAACTGCAAGCATTGGCAAGGACCCAGAACAGGAACACATACATTGCTGGTAGGAGTGTCAACTGATTCAATCACTTTTAAGAACAATTTGGCATTACCTAGTGAAGCTGAACAAGTCCATACCCCATAAATAAGCAATTCTGCTCCCAGATATAGACTCTAAATTCCTGCATATGCACAAGAGAGATTTATAAGAATATTCATAAGCAGCACTGTTAGTAGTAGCAAAAAACTGGAAACAATCCAAATGTTCATCATGGATAGCATGGATAAATTGTGGTATATACAAATAATGAAATACTGTATAGCAGTAAAACTGAGTGACATACACCATGGATGACATACACACAAAAAAATGATGCTTACAAAAGAAGTGAGAATAATAACTATAGTATTATTCCATTATATACTTCTACCAACATTCCGTTCACAACCATTTAGGTAATCTCTAGCAACATTGAGGCTTCGTCTACAGCTCTCTTCTTTTGAACCCTCCCCAGAATTGTCCTTCAGGCTCTGTTCACAGCAATGAGGGCTTTTTCTAGCATTCACATCAAAACTCTTCCAGCCTCTACCCATCACCCAGTTCCAAAGCTGCTTTCACATTTTTAGGTATTTGTTATAGCAATACCCTCACTTCTTGGTACCAATTTCTCTCTTAGTCTGTTCAGGCTGCTATAACAAAATACCATATAGACAGAGTGGCTTATAAACAACAGAAATTTATTTCTCACAGTCTACAGGCTGGGAAGTCCAAGAACAAGAGGTGGCTGCCCCTCCAGAAGGTATCTTGTCTGAGTGGTGCCATCTCTACAGGTACACAGAGTGCAATGAACTGTGGGTGTGGCTGTCTCCACCTAGACTTTTAAGGATACCGCCTAAAGTTTTGGGGCCCAAGCAGAGAACTGCCACAGTGGTGGGGCCACAAAGAGAGCCCCCACTAGGGCAATGCTCAGCGGAGCCATGGAGGTGAGGCCACCATAGACAGTACCCATAGGGCACTACCTAGTGTAGCTCTGAGGACAGGGCCATCCCAGTAACCCCACATTGGTAGAGCTATGGCATGCAACTCCAGCCTGGGAAAACCTGGCAAGAAGTTGTACCCATGAAAGCTGCCATGTTGGCTGCACCCAGCAAAGCAATAGGGGCAGGGCCTTGGAGGCCCAAACCCCACCCCAGCATGGCTGGAAGACAGGACATGGAGTCAGAGAAGATTATTCTTGAGCCTTAAGATTTGTTGTTTACCCTGTTGGGTTTTAGACTTGCTTGGAACCCATTTACCTCTTTCTTCTTTCCTATTTCTCACTTTTGGAACGGGAATGTCTACCCTATGCCTGACCCACCACTGTATTTTGGAAGCACATAACTTGTTTAATTTCACAAGTTCACAGCCAGAGAGCAATTTGCCTCAGGATGAATTGTACCTTGAGTCTAACCCATATCTGACTTAGATGACATTTAGACTAGACTAGAATTTAGTCTGAGTTGATGCTGGAATGAGTTAAGACTTTGGAGGCTATTGGGATGGAATAAATATATTTTGTATGTGACAGAGACATAAATTGGGGAAGGGGTGGCAGAGGCAGAATGCTATGGTCTGAATATTTGTCCTCCCCTCCCCTCCACGAAATTCATATGTTGAAACCTAATACCTAATACATGCAATCATATGAAGAGGTGGGGCCCTTTAGATGGTGATTAGGTCATGATGGCAGAGCCTTCATGGATGTGATTAGTGCCTTTATAAAAGAGGTGCAAGGGAGCTTGTTTGCTCCTTCTACCATGTGAAGACAAAGCTAGAAGGCACTATCTATGAGGAAGAGACCCTCACCTGACATCAAATCTAATGGCACCTTATTCTTGGACTTCCCAGTCTCCAGGACTGTGAAAAATAAATTTCTGTTGTTTATAAGCTATTCTGTTGTTTGTTTTGTTACAGCAGCCCAAGTGGAATAAGGCATCTACTAAACAAGCTGCCTCCAGCTTATCATTTTAGATAATATTTCAATTATCTCCACTTGTGAAAATTACTTTCCTAACACAATTATTTTGAAAGTCATCAGCCAAATTTCTGAATCATTCCTTTTTCTACTTAAGGGAAGAAATAATGCAGTTGATGTTAAAAATGAAAATAGAAAATAAGATGAGGATTTTGAAAGACTGAGAATAAAGATTATATACATGTTTAACCAGCTCTTTATAGATGTGATTGTTAGCCCTCCCATAAAGTCAAATAGGCACAGCTAAATGTTTATGTTTACCTCTGAGATTCAAAATTTTAAGAACATATCAACAAAATATTCTAGCACAACTCACAATTTGTAAATTTTAATAAATTAAAAATTGCAGAAGAAAAGTCAGCACAGTAAAGATTCCCATCCTTGACCTGCTTGGTGGGGATAAGAAGTTTCTGAATGGCAAAGATTCTATGTGCTAGTTGTAACATGGCATTTATAACAGTTCAAGCACCTGCCACTGTGCTAAGTTTATAACATTACTCAGTTCAAGCCAGAAGCTTGAGCTATTCAGTCATGTACTAATAGTCTGGTTACTTAGGATGAATGAAAGAGAATTTCATTCATAAAAAAATAAAGAGGCAGATGAAAACAAACTTAGAATCATCATGAAGATGCAGTAGAAATTTAGCTGGCAGGCTTAAGCCTGGAAGTCTTCTCTAATTCACATTGAGATGGCTATAATTAAAGAAAAAGAAGTGTTGGCAAAGATGTGGAGCAACTGGAACTCTCATATACTACTATAAAATGGTATAATCACTTTGGAAAACAGCTTGGCAGCCTCTTAAAAAGTTAAACATACACCCACCATATGACCCAACTATTCAACTCCTTCATATTTACTCAAGAGAAAAACTTTGTGTCCATACAGTCACTTACATAAATCTTCAAGACAACTTTATTTGTAGTGGCTAAAACCTGGGTTGTCTCCAATTATCCATCAACAGGTGAACAAATAAACAATTTGTAATATAACCATTGAGCCAAAAACAGCTTAAATATTCCTAGGGATGGGATGGAGGTAGGAATGGATTACAAGGGGGCTGGAGGAAACTTTTGTGAGTAATATATGTTCATTATCTTGATTGTGGTGATGGTATCACAGACTTCTATGTATATCAAAACTCATCAAATTATACACTTAAATACATACAGTTTATTCATTGAATGGCAATTCTACCTTAATATAAAAGCTGTAGAAATTCTATTATTCTACATAGTAAGAAGCAATAAAGTTCCTAAAACCGGGGGGGGGGGGGGGGGAAAT